AGCAAAAAAATATGAAACTAGATCTGTTTACCATCCTGTACTAGTATTAACTCAAAATGGATCAAGGACCTTAATATCAGACCCCAAACTTTATTGTTGGTACAGGAAAGAGTAGAAAATACTATGGAAGCATTAAGGTATAGGCAAAGACTCCCTCAATAGAACCCCAGAAGCTCAGCAACTAAGAGAAAGTATAGACAAATGGGACTTCATAAACTAAAAAGGTTCAGCTCAACAAAAGTAATGTTCTTTAAACTGAAGAGACCACCCACAGAGTGGGAGAAAATATTTTCCAGCTACACATCAGACAAAGGAATGATAACCAGAATATACGCAGAACTCAAAAAACTAACCTCTCCCAAAGTTAATGAACCAATAAAGAAATGGGCAAGTGAACTAAACAGAACTGTCTCAAAAGAAGAAATTCAAATGGCCAAAAAACACATGAAAAAATGCTCACCATCTCTAGCCATAAAGGAAATGCAAATCAAAACTACACTAAGATTCTACCTCACCAGTTAGAATAGCCATCATTAGAAACACTAAAAACAACAGGTATTGGCAAGATGTATGGGAAAAAGAACCTTATATACTGCTGGTGGGAATGAAAACTAGTATAAACCACTCTGGAAAAAATTTTGGAGGCTTCTTAAAAATCTAAAGACAGATCTGCCATATGATCCAGCAATCCCACTCCTGAGCATATACCCAAAAGAATGTGACACAGGTTACTTCAGAGGCACATGTACACCCATGTTTACTGAAGCACTATTCACAATAGCCAAGTTATGGAAACAGCCAAGATGCCGCACCACTGACGAATGGATTAAGAAAATGTGGTATTTATACACAATGGAATTCTACTCAGCCATGAAGAAGAATGAAATTTTGTCATTTGAAAGTAAATGGATGGAACTGGAGAACATCATCCTGAGCGAGATTACCCAGGCCCAGAAGACCAAAATTCATATATTCTCTCATATGTGGATTTAAGATCAAGGGCAAACACAGGAAGGGGATTGGACTTTGGTCATATGATAAGGCGAGAGCACACAAGGGAGGTATGAGGATAGGTAAGAAACCCAAAAAAACAAGATAGCATTTGATGTCCTCAATGCAAAGGAACTAATGCAGAAACTTTAAAGCGACAGAGGCCAATAGGAGAAGGGGACCAGGAACTAGAGAAAAGGTCAGTTCAAGAAGAATCAACTTAGAATGTAACACATATGTACAGGAAAGCAATGCTAGGAATCTTCCTGTACAGCTATCCTTATCTCAACTAGCAAAAACCCTTGGTCCTCCTTATTAATGTTTATACTCTCTCTTCAACAAAATTAGAGATAAGGGCAGAACAGTTTCTGCCTGGAAGTGAGGAGATGGGGGGCAAGAAGGAAGAGGTGGGGGGAAAGGGAGGGGGCAGGCAGAAGGGGGGAGAAATGACCCAAACATTGTATGCACATACGAATAAAAGAAGTAAAATAAATAAATAAATAACTTAGAAAATAAATAAATAAATAAATAAATAAAAATAAAAATCATTCCTAAATTTCACATACAATCACAAAATACCCAAAATAGCCAAAGTAACCCTGAGCAAAAAGAGTAATGCTGGATATATTATAACACCTGATCTTACATTATACCAAAGAGCCAAAATAACAAATAGAGCATGGTATTGTGCAAAAACACAAACTTAGATGAATGGAGTAAAATAGAGGGTCTAGAGACAACTCCACATAGCTACAGCCATGTTTTTCAACAAAGGCCCCAAAAACTATGGTCAAGAAAAGTCATCCTCTTCAACAAATTGTTGGGAAAACTAAATATCCTCTTGTACAGGACTGAAACTAGATCCCTATCTCTCACCCTGCAGAAAAATTAATTCAAAGTAGGTGAAAACTGGGTGCTGGTGGCTCTTGCCTGTTATCCCACCTACTTGGGAAGTCTTCATGTCCAAAATAACCAGAGTAAAATGTTCTGGAGGTGTGGCTCATGTGGTATGAAGCCCTGAGTTCAATTCCCAGCCCCACCAAAAAAAAAAAGTGGCTAAAAGACCTTAATGTCCTGAAACTTTCACAGGATTAGGGGAAAACAAGATGTAGACATCAGTAACAGCTTTATCAATAGAACTCAGATTGCTGAGGAAATAAGAGAAACTGACAAATGGAGTTGCATCAAATTAAAACAACATTTGTACAACAACAGAAACAACTACAAGACTCAAAAGACAATATAGAATGGGAAAAATTCTTTGCCAACTATTGATTGGCTAAAGGATTAATACCCAGAATATATAAAGAGCCCCAAAAATTAAACATCAAAATTATAAGCACTCTAATTAATAAATGGGGAGAGGTTTTTTTTTTTTTTTTGTCTTTTCTTTTTTGGTGCTGGGATCGAACCCAGGGCCTCACGCATGCTAGGCAAGCACTGTACCACCGAGCTACATCCCAGCCCACTAATTAATAAATGGGGAAATTAGTTCAGCATATAGTTCTTAAGAGAAGTACAAATGGCCCATAAATATGCAAGAAAATGTTCAACATTTTTAGCCAAAAAAGAAATGTTACTTGAAACAATACTGAGATTCCATTTTACTCTAGTCAGAATAATCTTTAAGAAAACAAACAACAAATGCTGGCAAAGATGTGTGGGAAAAGGAACCCTCATACAGTGTGAATGTGAATAAAGTTAGTGCACCCCCTATGGAAATCAGTTATGGACTTCTCAAAAAGCTAAAAAGAAAAATACCATGTTACCATGCTAAACCATTCAGCATATATCTGATGTGTAGTTCCCTATACAACAGAGTTACCTACCCATCCATGTTTATGGCTTTATCACTCTCAATAGTCAAGTTATGAAGATGGCCTATAACCATTGAACAGACAAAGAAAATGTGATACACACACACACACATGCACACACAAATGGAGTATTATTCAACCATAAAGAAGACTGAAGTTGTGTGATTTGCAGGAAAATGGATGGACCTGGACATCACCATGTTAAATGATGTAAGCTCCACTGAGAACAGCAAATGTTACTTACTCTCTCCTCTATGTGGAATCAACTGAGTGACATGAGTGTGAAATGGGGACTGCTTTGGGATGGGAACCAGTACAAGGTGGGAGAGTAAAAGGAGAGGGTTGAAGGGGATGAATAAGATCAATACACATGTATGAAAACAGATTAATGAAATCCCTTCAAATTGTTAAAAAGAGGGGAAGGTAGAAAGAAAAAGTAAGAGTAGAGGGTCTGAATTTGATCAAAGTATATTACATGCATGTATGGAAATATCAAAATGAAACCCCTTTGTATAATTAATATATGTTAGCAAAAAAGAAAAAGTAAAGGAACTCATTAATATCAGCATCATTTCATATCAAAGTAGATAAATAAATCGCATGTAATACATTTCTCTTCTCTAAAAGTAGACAGCAGTCAGATTTTGACAGGTCATAAAAGCAAGGAAACAGTTTGCCTTATTCTACATGAAAATGACAGGCCTTGGTCTTGGCCAATGGGGGGAAATGTAGCTTATCATTACTAGAGAGGAAAAGGAAGGAAGCCATAAATACTAATATGTAGAACATATTCTTCCTAAGAATTATATTACTAATTCTTTCACATTTATGTGCTACAAAGAAGTGTTTATTTTAAATAAAGTGTTATTTGAATAGGATGAGCTGCAGCAATTAACATTGTTATTTAAAACTTTGAAACTTTTGTGTTTATTTACTGCCTGTTGTTTTAAAGATAAAATGGGACAAATAAAATAAACATGCTTTAGAAATAAATAAGCTTTATAAATGTATTTACTTACCTCCCAAAATGTGACAAGCACTATTTAATAAATGTACTTATAAATATTAAACAGATATGTGATTATTTGTATTCATGGCATTTTCAGTGTCCAGTGTCTTAGAGATTAGTAAAAAAACATAGAATCTGGGTGCACCTGTTGAGTGAGGTTATGAATTCTCACCTAGTTTAGAATTCCTTGAATAAGCTGTTGGGATGAGATACCAAGCAGTGTGTCCAGGTGAATTTCTGCTGCAGGTGGTTCTATAAATATGGCACACATCCAGCAACAACCATGGCTTTCTCTTTCCCTTTGAATTTAAGTCTTTATAGAGAATTATAAATAAGTATTTCCTGGGCTGGTGGAGTGGCTCAAGTGGTAGAGTTCTGCCTCACCCCAACACAACACAAGTAAATTATTGTTATTCCTCTATGTACCCTATGATCCCACAGAGAGTGTGAGAAAGCTGCCAGGCACATTTGTGCAATATTGCTAGGAATTAATGTTTGGATTAAGACTGAACACGAAAATATCAAGTTGAATGATTTAAAACACTGCTCATGGTTCTGGCTATTTACACTGAAATGGGCTGCCAAATGCTTTTTGATTTGGACATCACTGAAAAATAGTAATATCATCATTGACAAACTGGTTGTTTCTCAGTTAAGAGGGTATACCTTGTCCTGCTCCTAACTAACTTTTTGTAACAGTAAATTAGTTTTAATTTTTAAGTATTTAAGTCTTTTTTTGGCTTGTGCCAGTGGCTTACTCCTGTAATCCTAGCTACTCAGGAGGCAGAGATTAGGAGGATCAAGGTTTGAAACCAGCCCTGGGAAAATACTCAAGAGACCCTAGTTCGAAAAATCACATCACAAAATAGAGCTGGCAGAGTGCTCAGGTGATAAAAGTGCCTGCCTAGCAAGTGTGAGGTTCCGAGCCCAAACCCCAGTGCCACCAAAAGTAATAATAATAATAACAAATATTTAAGTTTTTGTGTTTGATATGAGCTATATGATTCTCTATGGTCCCTTCTGACTCTAGTGCTAGTATCTGGCATTGAAATGTCTTCTGAGTAGGTTCTAGGGTTTTCTTTTCCTGAAGAGGAGGGATGCCTATGTGCTTGTCTGTTGATGTCCCTGTCCTTATCTCTGTCCCCTTAGCCTCACACTTTCCTGAACTCTTGAACCCACCTCACCTCTAGCAGACCCAGGGCTGGGCGCTGGCACCTCTCCTCCAGCTCATCCGCCAGCTCTTTCAGGGCCTTGTTCTGCTGCACAAGCCGGTTCTTACTGTCCCTCAGTCTCTGCAGAGTAGTTCGCTCCTCCTCCTCCAGCCGCCTCAGCTGCAGCTGTTCCTCCTGGGCCAGAAAGCCTCGATGCTTTTCAAACTCCAGCCGGAAACGCTGTCTGTGCATTTCCACTTTCTCCTGGAGGATAGAATAGGTTAGTCATCAGCAACTGGGGCAAGGGTCTAGACCTCCTGCCTGCGTGTGTGGGATGCGGGGACTGGAGAAGGCAGGGTCCCGAGTCCCTCAGTCCTGCAACTATGTGGACTCACTGCTACATTCTAAGGACATGCAGAAAACAGGCAGTTTACATAAAGCAGTGTCCTGGCGAGTTTCCAAACTCAAAATTTGAGACAAACTGTTGAACTTGGGTCCCATACTGCTGCAGACTTAGAGACAAACATTTTTATATATGAATTTCAATATCATATGCAAAATGTAGTGAAGCGTGTAGGGGTTATAGTTAATATCTATTCATCTGTTGAACACAGTGACTAGCACAGGGTAATCACACAGACGTTACTATTCTACTAATTGATTGATGGTACAAATACTGAACTCTGAACAGAGATTAAATAAATCCACATTTGCAAATGTGAAAAAGAAAAGTTTTAAGTTAGAAAATGTGAATGTTCTTTTATCATATGGCAGTCATGAGACCAACAGTAAAGGTTGCTGTTTTAAAACTGCAGAGCCAAAAAAGAATTGAATGTTATTCAGACCACTTATCTGAGTTAACTTCAGGTTGTCCCTCTTTCTACCCAAATCTCACCTCTACAATTTCTGAACAGATGCAAGGAACATATTTTGCTAAAGGATTAGTGTATCTAAATTTTATTCTTTTGAGATTAGAATACAGGAAACTAATTTCAAACTGAGTGTGAAAGACAAATCACCCTCCCAAAACATCAGTATTTTAGAATCTCTGCTCTGTCTTTAAACTTTACTATTTCTTGGTTTAACTGAAAGGCATAAACTATCATATTTTTAAGACAATAGTTCTTTCCAAATCTCTTAAGATAACTCCTTCCTCAAATTTCCCATCCCTATCTCCTTCTACCACTGGATTCATACAATCTTGGCCTCTCTCTGAATCTGAAAGGTGTAACTCATGTAAAATAGAGGCAGTTCTCCCCATATTGGAGGCTATGCTAGCTATGAGTGGAACTAATAACTCAGCCATTGGAAAAGAGTGGTGCTATATTTGGGGCATGAGGGATGGTGTGATGAGGTGGGGAATTAGGGGTTGTTTCTTCCCTCATATCATCCTTTTGAGTGATAGAATTATTTCTGCAAATATGGAAAGAAAGACTTTGTTGAACTTAGAGACTACCTTTACACGGATACACTATTATGGTAAAGATCATGCAGGTTTACTTGTCATTCCACAGGAAACTTAGTATCACCTTTATTTTAGAACAATCAGAGAGTGTAAAAAAGATGTGGGAATTCTGATTTCATAAATCTGTAGGCACCTCAGGATTGAAAAAATTAACTTCGGATTATTAGTCTGAAAATTTTTTGAAGTGAATAAATGTTTAACTTTAACTATAATGGACATACAAATTGGAAAGGATGAGACTTAGTTCAGAAGAAAAATGTAGTAAAAAATATAAAAAAATAAATGGGACTGGGAGAATAGCTCAAGAGGTAGAGTGCCTGCCTAGCAAGCATGAGGCCATGAGTTCAAACCCTACTACTGCAAAAAAAAAAAAAAGTAAATAAAGTGTACTAAAAATGTTATTATGGAAAAATTTGTCTATATGACTAAACAGATAAAAAAGGTTATTTGGAGAAAGGCAAAATAGGAATAGTCTATTTAAAATATATCCTATACATTATGTAGTACACTGTGTGTATAAAATACCCATAACTTCTATAGTTTCACAATCTTTTGACAGTTTGGCCAGATAATTCTTTGTTGTGGAATGTGGGGAGTGTCTGTACATTGTAGGGCATTCAGCAGTATTCCTGGCTCTACCCAGTAGCTCAAGAGCTGTAGGGAGGAAGGTAAAAACATCCCTGTAGGAGTGGGTATGCATGTCAGTGCATATGTGTAAATGAAATAGGTAAGAGGATTTAAAAACAGCTGCTGACTAGAGAAAAGGTGTGATCAAAAAGAATTAACCTAGAAGGTAACACACACACACAGGAAATTAATGTGAGTCAACTCCCTGTATAGCTATCCTTATTTCAACCAGCAAAACCCCTTGTTCCTTCCTATTATGGCTTATACTCTCTACAACAAAATTAGAAATAAGGGCAAAATAGTTTCTGCTGGGTATTGAGGGGGTAGGGGGGAGAGGGAGGGGGTGGAGTGGGTGGTAAGGGAGGGGGTGGGGGCAGGGGGGAGAAATGACCCAAGCCTTGTATGCACATATGAATAAAAAAAAAAAAAAAACCAGCTGGTGAGACTTATAAAAGGAATACATGGATGAATGCCTGAAAACACACTAAAAATTCTGATTATCTTTCTCTATTCATGATGAGCACTGTTAGTTCTTCTATATCTGTTATATAGTTGTGATAATATTTCATTCATCTAACTAATTTATTTTTAAACTATAGTACTAGGTGACAGGGATACAGCAGTGAGTTTTATAGTAAGATCAAGAGATTAAAGCTATTTATATATAATTTGAACTATGTCAATACAGGTAAAAAGGAGAAAAATGAACAATATAATTTGAAGGGATAGGATGATCAAGGATGGCACTAAGATGTTTTTTCTTGAGCCTAGGAAAGGATGTTTTTCTTTTCTGTAAGGGGATTTGGATTTTTCAACCTACCCCCCACATTCTCTTACCTTCCAAACAACAGTCTTCTTCCCCACATTGACCTCCTGAGACAAAGTCTCCTCTATCTCCTTCCTCACAAGTTCCAGAGCCATCTCAAGCTTTACCTGTTTGGGAAGATAGGCCAAAACCATTACAGATGAGCTTGCTCAGTGCTTAATGTCACCTAAATGTGTGAGGAAACACAAAGATCAGCTGAAAAGTTTCCTAGAAAGCATGTAAAATTTCCTGTTCTCATTAATTAATGAGTAGAAAATATATGTATTTTAGTACCAGATACAAAGATTTATCTAAAAATATGCTCATTATATCACTATTTATAATAATAAAACCATAATAAACAAAAATTTTTAAACTATGACAGTAAAAGTATTTTATATTATCAGGATAGAAAAAGGTTTTGCAGGATATTTAATGACAATAACTACAATTTTAATTTCAAATAAGTGTATTTTCTAAAACAATATCAATTTTGAAAGATGTTTATAATAAATATATAAAAACTCAGTAATGGTAAATGAAAGTTTTTATTAAATGAAATGTTGCCCATTGATGCTAAGCTGAAGACTGATGTAGTGCCTTTTATGATTTTTAAAAGGATTAGTACTATTACTTGGACAGAAAAAACCTTGTTAACATATTTTAAATGAATAATGTAAAAGAGGCTTTGTTAACATATTTTAAATGAAAAAAAATACTGCGGATCTTAAAAGGAGTAAAAATAACACAACAGAATTTAGATCATTTTTCAATGATAGGACCCTTATGGAAGGCAAATGTGTGTGTTTTATTTACAGAGAACACCAATAAAAATACACAGATAAATATGCTTTTACTAGAGTAAATATATACCCTATTACCCTGGTTTTTCAATATATCCTATTTACATGTCACTTACTTTTTGTTTGTTTGGTTTGATTTTGCAAGGCAGGTACATCATTTACTTTTAAAAAAAGTAGACTAAGTAATGCTGCATGTGCTGTATGTAATACTGCACATAAAATAACGTTAGAATTCACCATGGCATTTGTTTTAGTATTTGAAAGAAATAGAGCTCTTTAATGCTTGTAGATGGAGAAAAGATCCCTCAGACCAAAGAAATAGTGAGTAAAAAACAAGGAGGTGAAAAAAAAAAAGGAGGGGTGGCAAGTTTGGGGACAACAGTAATTCAGCTAGTTTTGCTGAATCACATGGTTAATTGGGTTAGAGTGTAAGAGTGGTAGAAACATAACTTAGAACATCTTGATTGACAAGTTAAGAAATTTAGATAATATGTATCTTATTTAATTGAAAATACAGAGAACAGCCTTAGAAATAGTACAGTATCCATGCTCTGTGTAGTACTTTCAGGATTTAAACAGCAAGAACAAAATTTTAAAATCTAGCTAGACAGTACACTGAATTTTGAAGAAAACAACAGAAATCAAGAAAAACCAAGAGAGATATTTCCAGGAAGGTCCAGAGGGATATCAAAGGGGATATACCCCAATCTAAATTTAAAAATACACATTTTAAGAAAGCTAATCTTTGCAACCTAATACAGCATGATAAATAGTAATTTGGTTAAATATGTCAGCAGATTAAAGAAGATTTTGACCTTTTCCCTGCTAGTAGCTGCCCCAGATGTTGGGGATTTAAGTGTGCTTAGAATGTGTCCAAGAACTTTTGAAAAGCCCTAGTAGGAGGAATTCTACACCCTGCTTCACAGATGCCACACTCAGAGGTGCAGTTCTTCACTGAGGATGTTCAAATCCTAAATCCCAGGTTCTTGGATGCTTAGCTACTGATTCTTACTGCAGGCGCTAGAGGCCTGCACAAGCTTTAAAGACAGAATCCATTCTCAGCAAATGACCAAACCACATACCTGTTTACATGACAATATTAACGTAGTGTTTTTACTATGCAAAGGCAAAGCGTAAAGTAAGAATATTAGAAAGAGTTCAGATTAAAGGTGTACAAATATAACTCAAAATCAATTGTACCACGCAGTACTCCACATGAGAGCTCCAGCTGTAGGACCCAGACTATGGGCATCAGGAAAAACAAGACCAAGGTGAAATTAAGGGAGCAGGGAGGGCTTCAAAGAAGAGGTGGACAATCGAAAATGGTGAGTGCGTTTGAGCTTCTGAGCAGGGCTCTCTCCACGGGGGTAACAGTGAGTAAAGGCAATCCTAGTGTGAGCTGTGGCAAGGGGGAAGGGGCTGTAGAGTTATTGAGGACAGCCAGTGTGGACTGCTCTGGTGTCTCCCTTGTGAAAGCAGTGTTTCCACATTCCCAAAGGCTCTAATCCAGGTGCACCCGGAGAAGGAACGTCTTTCACTCAGCGCTTCTTACCTGGTAGCACCTGGCAGCCTCCTGCAGCGGCACGGTGCTGTGGCCCCGGTGCTCCAGGGTGGTGTCACAGACCCAGCACAGAGCCAGCTGGTCCTCCTCGCAAAAGCGGCTCAGGTCCTCGCCGTGCCGCGCACATTGGCGTGCTGCGGCAGACCCCGCGCCGAGTCCCAGCTGCCGCACGCTGTCCACGAGGCTGGCCAGCTGCCGATTGGGCCGGAAGCTCTCGGGCCGGAAAGGGCTTCGGCACTGCGGACAGGCATAGACGCCTTCCTGAGCGCTGTCGGACTTCTCACAGAACTCTGAGATGCACCTCAGGCAGAAGCTGTGGCCGCAGTCCACGCTGATCGGGTCCTGCAGGAAATCCAGGCACACTGAGCACCGGGCTTCCTCGCGTAGCCGGTCTCCGGGCGCGCCAGAGGCCATGACCCACGGCCTCCCCCGCAGGCCCACTGATAGCAGCGCTGCCACCCCCAGCTGCCGCACTATCTCCCCTTGTGGTCTGGCACAGAAGGGAGGAACCCCAGAGCCTCAGAAGAAGCAGGCCCAAGATGGGTTTTATCTGCTTGGCTGGGATCCAAGAGTATCTGAGCCACTCCTGGTGAAAATATACACTTAGACACCCTTCACCCCAAGGATAAGCTCAACAGCCAGTAGCTCTCACCTACTAGGGAACCAAATATTTCCTGCTTCTTTTCTTTAGAAGAGTGTTTTAGTATATTGCAACATTTAAGTCATCTTAAGGTGAAACTTTATTAAAGTTTGGGCTCTTTTTTCAAAACTTTTGAAGTCTAGCAAAATTCTAAACTTCAGTTTCCTGAAGTATAGATAGCAGAAATTACCCAATTTTAATCAAGTTCTTGACTCTTACTTTTTTCTTAACTTTTCCCCCACCAAACTTCAAGTTTTCCTTTTTTTTTTCCACTAAGTAGTTCAAGATAAAGTAATGTGACAGCACCTGATGAGGAGATGACTGAACAGATGTGTACAACAATGATGGGTTTCTGGATATTTAAATAAATAGCCAGTTCAGTGACAGTGCTACAACGAATACACAAGTATATTCATTGCAAACCTTACCTTGGAAGTGACAAATTTGTAAGGTAGGACATGTGGTAAAAGGAATAATTGTTAGTACAGCCTACAATGCTGCACCTGTGAGATGGGGAAGGCTAAGACAGGAACAAGATGATCGGACAGAGGATGTGACAGCCCAGGGGAAGGCAGAACCAGGATGAGTATGATAAGATGCTTAATGTCATCCAGGAAGTAGACAAGCCCCAGGGCATGACTGTCATTTCAGCAAAACATAATTTCACTGTGGATGCATTAGAAGTATGGTGGGCCATGCATCATGCAAATCAATTAATCTAGTCCCAGCACATGTGTGCTTGTCACTAGCAGTGACTCTCAGGTGCAGCACTGGCTATTAAAGGCATGGGAATTCCTGTGAGGTGAAGAGATAGAATCTCATCACTGAAAGAGCCTTGAACTTAGCTGGGAGAGATCAACATAGAACCACACAAGCAAATAATGACAAACTAAAAACTGGAAGAAGCATCCCTCACAGGCCCTGCAGGAATATAACAGAGGACTCTAAACTAGTCTGTCCCCAGAAGACTGCTGACCTAAGGTAAAAGGTGAGTTCCAGCTGGCAAATAGGAACACCCCCAGGCTGTGCAGCCAGAGGATCAAGGAACAACAAGCACAATGCAAATTGTGCAGGGAGGAGGCTGGCTGCATCTAGTGACTCAGATATATTTGCAGGCTAGGCTAGGCCAATGGGTCAGGTTCTGGCAGTTCCTCTGAGGTTCATATTATAAGGACAAATCTTGGCCTGGAGGTTTGGCCAGGAGCAGGGTCTAAAAGATCTTGAGGCCACCTGATTAAAGGTTAGGTAGATAATTGGAATGGATAGATTGTTAAAGAAAAAGCACAGGTAAGTATGAGCAAACTGGAATGCAAATTAGTACAACTACTATGGAAAGCAGTATGGTGATTCCTCAAAAAGCTAAAGATAGAACTTCCATATGATCCAGTGATACTACTCCTAGACATCTACCAAAGGAACATTAGTCAGGATATAGCAGAGACACTTGTATGCTGATATTCATCACAGCATTATGGAAACACCAAGGTGCCTTACAACAGCTGAATGGATCAACAAAGTGTGATATATATAGATATATAGATAGATAGATAGATAGATAGATACACATACACACACACACACACACACACACACACACACACTCACTCAATGGAATTTTACTCAACCATAAGGAATAATGGCATGTGCTTTGAAGGTAAATGGATGCAATTGGAGAATTGGAGGACATCAGGTTAAGTAAAGTGAGTCAGGTTCAGAAAGACAAAGGCCACATATTTTCTCTCATGTGAAAGATAGATCCAAAAGATAAACATATACACAAAAATAAACATGAACACATACAAATTCATATGTAGAACATGTTTGCAATAATGGAACTATTTTTGGAACATGGGGAAAGAAGGAAAGGAAAAGAGAATGATAAAGCATCAGTAATATCGTAAAGCATAACATATGTGAAGACAGAGAATATAAGGATGTGTATTTAAGGCTATTGAAAAATGGGAGGTAGGAGGTTAATGGGCAAGGGGAGTAATGGAAGGGGTTGAATGGACCAGAGTAAAGTATACCCAGAGTGGGATACATTGAGAAACCCCTTTGAAAATCAACTAAAATATTAATAATTAAAAACAGGACTGTAAAATAGGTACAGTGCAGGGGGGAGTACAACTGGGAGGGGAAGGATGAATGAAGATGATTAAGGTGAGGGTATATAGTTGATGGACTACATATACCTATATGAAATTGACAAAGGAACCTCTTAAAATTGTTTTAAGTATGGCAGGGAAGGTGTTATGGAGACAGATGGTAAGGGCAATGTAACTAATGAACAATATAAGCCTAATTGGAATTGTCATTATGAATACCCTCCTGTGTAATGAGTATATCATAATAAAAAGTTTTTTTTTTTTTTAAAGTATGAGCCAACTTGTTCAAGATGTGACATGAGAGGAGAAAGCAAAAGGTCAAAGGGATTAAATATGTGCAGTACTTCCCAGACATTTTCTTCTTTAATGGCTGGGGATGAAGGTTGGGGTTTTCTGACATAAATTTGTACTTTCCATAAAGTGCATCTGTGGTTCTGATTCATCACACTCTCCTTGTTTCTATGCTTAACCCCATCCTCTGGCACATTCATAGGCTGGATAGGTCCAAGGTTTTTAGCTAATCCTGCCCCTCCACCACCCTCCTCCAATATTTTTCTTCATTTGTTCCCTGCCTTTTTTGACCTTTTATTAGTTCATTGAGATACAAACTCTACCATCACCTGAACATTTCTCTCTGATATTGTTCTTGATTTCTTTGCTTTGGGCTCCTGAGACAGTTTCTCAGGACATCAGAATTTACTTCTCTATGTTGAGCCCTTTGTTAAGGCACTGAACTCTCCTTGGCCACACCCTCTGTCTCAACAAGGGAAACCACAGTCTCCCCACCCCCACACTCATGCTCCACTCAGTTTAAAATGGTAAAAAAAGAAAAAAACCTTCCACAAACCTCAAGAGCAACAGCCACTGACTCAGCAACTTCCTTCCTGCCAATGGTTTTTAAAAGGACCTTGGTTTGTTTTCTTTTAAGAAATTGCATCTTGCATGTTTTTCTCCTAATTTTTTATTGTGGTAAAATAAGCATTACAACAAATTTATAATCTTAATCATTTTGAATATACATTTCAGTGGCATTAAGTACATTTATAATGTGCAACCATCTCCAAAAGTTTTTTCTCTTATACAACTGAAACTTTATATCCAATAAACAATAAATTCCCACCCCCTCCACCCCCTCTATGATTTTTACTAATTCAGAGACTTCATATAAGTAGAATTATACAATATCTGTATTTTTGTGACTGAGTTACTTCATTTAGCACAATGACATGAATGTTCATCCATGGTGTAGCACATTGTAGAATTTCCTTTATTTTTAAGGCTAACAATATACATTGTATATGTACATTACATTATATGTATATACTGCATTTTGATTACTCTGTCAATGGAAACGAGTTGCTTCCACATTTTAGATATTTTGAACAATGTTCTATGTATGCTGATATCCATATATCTTTTCCAGACCTGGTTTCCAATTCTTTTGGGTACATGCCCAGAAGTGCAATTGCTATATCTTAAGTTAATGATATATTCTTATTTCTCGAAGAACCTCCATATTATTTTTCACAGTTACTGTAACATTTTATATTCTCACCAAGTCAAGGGTTCCAGTTTCTTCACATTTTCACCAATATGTGTTCTCCCTTGCTCTCCCTCCCTTCTTCCCTCTTTTCCTTCCTTCCTTCTTTCTTTCTGTCTTTATGTGGTGCTGGGGATTGGACCCAGGACCAGGTGCATACTAGGCAAGTGATCTACCATTGAACCATGCCTGTCCCTATTTTCTGATTTTGTTTGTTAATGGCACAATCCTAATCAGTGTGAGATGGTACCCCCTGTATTTTCATTTTGTCTTTCTCCCCAAAAGCCTTACTGAAGTAAGGTTCAGCTAAAGTCATTTGATGCTTTCTGTGGACACAGCATCTGGCTCTCTACCTTTGTAAAGAAGGCTAGAATCCAGTGTACCTCTGTGCTTCCATTGAAGGAATTTGGGGAGAAAGGTTAAAGCAGAGACAGCTACTTAGGACTAGAGCTGGTGAACATGAATTGAGAGATTGATGCAGAGGAATAAATGTTGGCCCTGACCTGCTTCCAGGCAAGATAGCAATAGGCAGGACATAGGCATTTTAACAAAGGTAGATTTCTAGGATAATGTTATGTGTAAACAGTGATTTACATTATTTAATGTAATTTGATAGATTCTGTGGAAATAATATATCCTGCGAATATTTCTGTTCTAAATGCCTTCATTCTGAGCCTGCACAGAGCAAGTGCTCAGCATAGCTTCTGTAATAAATGAATAAATGTAATGTCTTATGCGACACTTACAGTCTCTGAGGGGTAGAATAAACTCTATCTATGCTTCATACATGAGGAAGTTGAGGCATGAGCAAAGCTATTAACAAGTCCTGTCTTTAGCTGCAGGTCTAGTGTTAGGTGTTGTTCCTGGTATGCTATGCAGGATGGTTACAAGTACCAATTTACTTGTTTGGGATTGTTTTAGGAGTCACACCCTAGATATGGGGCTAAAAAAGAGATGCCTGGATTTCATGGCCTGCTGCAGAAAAATATAACATATGATCAAAATAATAGCACAGAGATACAAGTACTAAGAAGACAAGCAAAATTAATACACTATATGTGAAAGGGTCTGGAAAGATCACATCTGAACTCAGTATTCAAGAGGCCTGGGATTTGCAGCCTGCCCCTGTAGCTTAAAGTGTCTAGTCAGAGACAACAGAGGTACACAACCTG